TCTATTGTCATATCCTTTGGCCTTAGAGTCAAACCCTTCCTACCATATGGATCAGAGTCCATATGAATCTTCCCTTCCATATCTTTAGGTTTAAAAGTCCGTTTTTCGGGAGGAACTGGCTTCCAAGTTTGAGTCTTTGCATCAAAAACTTCTACACAGTTCAAAGATTCTGGATTTTCGCAGCTTCCTGCTAAATACATCTTCCCATCAAAGCGATTATCTATGTGAGCAAGACGCAAGCTTTGAGCTTCGAGCCAGGTGTGAGTTCGACAATCCAGAAATGAGACATTAGAGCATGCAGCAGCTTTGATAGGTCCACAAATGTAGAGATTATGATCAACAGCGACAAGATCTAACCATTCAACAGGAGGAGGTGAGTTGGTAAATGAGATCGGAACCAAAAGATGACAACTTGATTCCTTCTTCTTCTTCTTTTTAGAGCTAAGGGTTCGGTTAGGTTTCCGGCAGAGAGTGAACCAGCGAGGATTTGGGTCAGAAGAGAAGTGTAAGCAGACATAGAGACAACTCTCGGTGCGGTTTAAGAGTGATCGGGTCTTGTAAAGCTCCGGCGAAGCAAGGAGAGATCGAAAGTTCTTGGAGACGAGCGAGAGAGTCGGATAATGGAATCTCGAGACGCGGGCTAAGCAACTAACGACCAAATCATCTGGAAGTGAAGGATTCGAAGTCAGTTCTGTCTTCTTCTTCTTCAACGGTGGTTCTTCGCCGTTCGTGGCGGCGGAAGCCATAGCTAGTGGAAGAAGAAATGACAAATTTAGGGATTTGAGTATTTAAAAATCAACCAAAATTGGGCCTTGGGCCTGGGCCTCAGTTAAGAGATTAGACTTTCTTTGAAACAAACTGCTTTAATTCATTCAAGACTGATTTGTTGATAATGCTAGGTAATTAAAGTTCATAAAGCTGCCTTGACAAAGTCCACTCGTATAATTAATTTCAAATTGTGAATGAAATAGAGATCCTCAAATTGTTTTAGTACCAATTTCTCTATTGGTTCACTACAATAACAAAAACACCAACTTAAGCTTTAACAAAACCTCATTTTCTTGTGCAACTTGATCATTACATAGATTAGGAACAAAAACACTGATCGTGTATCTTGTTTTAGTGATTGTCATGGTTGTAAAGAAAAGAATAGGCTTCTAATGCCAACACAAACAAGTGTATCAAACACATTTTGGTCATTCGCCAAGTGAGCCTAGAAGTGAATCATTGTCTGCTAAAAACACTAGACACATACAAATGATATTACCGTCATGAGTCATTTATCACACAGAATCACAAGTGTCAATTGCATTCCGCTAAAAGCCTAAAACTACAAAAGACATTCCTTCAAAAGTGACATATTACTAAGCGATATAACCTGATTCCGTCACATTCAAACCCGACGTCTCATGAGTCGTTAAATCAAACAGTAGCAGCAATAGCATACCTAGGGACTGTAAGAACCGCGTCAAACCACTTGACCTTTCCCCAAATCTCTTCACTGCTCCACTTTTCAAGCGAAATCACTGCACTCCAAATCATCTTCTCCCTATTACAACTTAGAGGCAGATACTTGTCCCACAAAACAACCATCTTACCACCATAATCCGCCAATTTAACACTACTATAACTGGCAAACTTAGGTAGCCCTTCTAAACCCTCTACTTTCTTGGAAACATCTGATCCAATGTTAGACCCATTTAAACTGCTCACTAGAACAATAACTATAGATTATGTTCCCTATTATACAAAAAAGAACCTCGACCCAAATCCATACCCAATCCTTTCGGTTCTATTGTCATTTCCTTTGGCTTTAGAGTCAAACCCTTCTTACCAGACAATGCATCAGAGTTCGTATGAATCTTCCCTTCCATATCTCTAGGTTTGAATATCCGTTTTTCGGGCGGAACTGGCTTCCAGGTTTGAGTCCTTTTGCTGAACACTTCAATACAGTTCAAAGACTCTGGATTTTTGCAGCTTCCAGCTGAATAAATATTCCCATCAAAAGTCGCTATGTGTGTGAGCAAGACGCAAACTTGGAGCTTCTAGCCAAGTGTGAGTTCTACAATCCAAAAATGAGACATTAGAGCATGGAGCAGCTTTGCCTTTGTTTTTACTGTTTTGCTCTTTTCCATGGCTGCTCCCAAGTTCTTCATGTAAATCGATTGTATATAGCTTGTTTACTTTTACCAATCTCTAATGTTCTTGCTCATATAAAACTTGTTGCAAAAGAAATCATGAGTCCCAGCAGCTACAACTTGAGCCATAATAAATTACATGAAGCTGTTTTTAATCACATTCAAGGAAGAAATACAGAGGAAAAGGCTGCACCTTAGGTGGAAGAGGAGGCTCGAGTACTTGAGTTCGCGCTTGAGCTCCCATAGATATAAGAGCTGAATCCCCAGAACGTGAGGAGCAAAGACAGGATCTTAAAGCCGCTCATCGGATCATGCATCAATATGACAGCGGCTATGCTCGTGATGGGCACTCTCACCGCGTTAAGGACTCCTGCCATGACGGTAGATGCCAGAAACAAGACAGCGGTTGCTCCAAGAACACCCAATTGAAACGTGACCGCGCTCCAGACAAGAACCTGAATGTACAGAGACTCGCCGCCTTTGAAACTTTTAGCTTCTTCAGCCATCCCTTGGAAATCTTTGCTCACAACCATCCCAATTGTGGTAAATGCAAAAGCAATGAGTGAAACCATGACTTGCTGCTCCAAAGCGACGTGGAAGAACCTTCTTCCGAGCAGTTTCACAAAGACAAGCTCGGACAAGGCGAAAATAAGCCCGTGAAGCACAGATCCCATTATGTCCCAAAAGAAACCTGCAAAGTATTGGCGGTTGCTTATATAATCATACCGATCAGAGCTTGAATCGAGCGCTATTATAGCCATAGCAGCGGTTATAATCACAATGGAGTTAATAACCGAAGGGTTCAGCGGGTTTTTCACAATGAGATAACCAAACAAAGCAGAGAACGCAAGCGAAGAAGATGCCAGAAGAGAAGAAGTCGATGCAGGGAGGTACGCGTAGGCGTAAGCGTACATAAGGTTATCTGCAGCACTCAAGAAACCGAGCACAATGTAAGAGAGAACAAGCTTAGTGTTGAGAGGTGTCGGTTTGATGTTTCTAAAGGCGTATGTTGGAAGTAAGATGAGACAAGTGATTGGCCATCCAACAACAGCAACCCAAGAGATGATCCATTTGCTTTTGCCACCATTGGAGAAGTAAAGACGAGATAGTAAACTAGAAGCTGGGAAGGCTATGAGCATTGATGCTCCACCAAGAATCAAGAGAACCCAATGTGAAACGGGTTTCGATTCGTAAGCTTCTCTTGTTGATTTCTTGACCTTAGAAATCCAATCTGAGTATGAAAACGAAACAGATGGGCGTTCTGTTGTTTCATTCATTAGAAATCCTGAACAAACAAACAAAAACAAATTTGATTAGAGAAAGCTTTTGGATTTAGCTAATTGAGAATCAATCACTATTCATTATGTACCAAACTCATGAAGAACAATCGATGAAGGGCTCTAGAATCGGAATCAACAACTAAAAATCAAAACTTTCTGGAAATTCTCTAATGATTGTAGAACCAAATCGTCTCAGGTTTTTCCAACAAAACTAAAAAAATCTCAGCTTTATTATGATCTAATCTCATCCTTAATTACAGTACAGAAACAGGATTGTTCAACAAGAAAAACCACAAGATTGTTTATAAAAAGTTGGGATACAGAATTTTTCGATGATTAGAATCAAATTCATCACCTAACACCCAAAATTGAGTAAGGAAATTCAGACTAAAATTGAGATTTAAGAGTACTCACTGACTGATAATTTGACTCCAGATTATCGTTTTTGAAACTTGTCATTTCTTTAAATTAAAAACCTTTCCTTTAGTCTTTCCCTTAAGAGTCGCAATTACTTCGGCGAAGAAACAAACTGTGCATGCGATAGAGCTCGGGAAAACGGCATGGACCATAGCTATTGCTATCCGGCCTTTTTGACATCTTTTAACATTGACCAATTTAAATCCGAACATTAAATTAATTCAAATTCGATACCCAAACGTACGATTTTGTTATTGATTTAGACTTAGACCAAATCACCGTTAGTCAACGTTAACGGAACAGTGACATTGATGACACGTAAACAAAGAAAACGACATTTTTGGACCAGAACTATTGCTATCGGGCCTTTTTGGACCTGATCTTTTAATATTGGCCAATTTAAACCCGAAACTCAAATTAATTCAAAGTAATTCGATACAATATTAATTTTTATTTTTAAAAAATAATAAATTCACTTCATAATTCTAAATAAAAATCTAGAATCAGAATTAAAAATTAATTTTAATTTGATAAATATAAAAATTATAAATGCGAAATTTAAACTGAAATTAATTTTTTTATCAAGTTCTAATTTCCAATCTTAATTCTAAATTCCATACCTAAATATCTAATTTTCAATCCTAATTCTAAATTCCAAACCTAAATATCTAGTTTCAAATCCTAGTTATATCAAGTTCTAATTTTCAATCTTAATTCTAAATTTCATACCTAAATATATATAATTTCCAATCCTAATTCTAAATTACATACCTAAATATCTAAGATTGGAAATTATATATATATATATTAGGTATGAAATTTAAAATTAAGATTAGAAATTAGAACTTGATAAAATTAGAATTGGAAATTAGATATTTAGTTTTGGAATTTAGAATTAGGATTGAAAATTATATATATTTAGGTATGGAATTTAAAAATAAGATTAGAAACTAGAATTTGATAAAGTTAGGATTGGAAATTAGATATTTAGGTTTGAAATTTAGAATTAGAATTGGAAAGTATATATTTAGGTATGGAATTTAGAATTAAGATTAGAAATTAGAACTTGATAAAAAAAAAATTAATTTCAGTTTAAATTTTGGATTTATAATTTTTATATTTATCAAATTAAAATTTATTTTTTAATTCTAATTCTATATTTTTATTTAGAATTATGAAGTAAATTTATTAAAAAAAATTTAAAATAAAAATTAATATTGCATCGAATTAATTTGAATTAATTTGAGGTTCATGTTTAAATTGACCAATATTAAAAGATCAGGTATAAAAAGGCCCGATGACAATAGTTCTGGTCCAAAAAAGCCGTTTTTTTTGTCTACGTGTCGTCCATGTCACTGTTCCGTTAACGTTGACTAACGGTGATTTGGGCAAGGTCTAAATCAACAACAAAATCGTACGTTTGGGTATCGAATTTGAATTAATTTGATGTTCGGATTTAAATTGGATAATGTTAGAAGATCAGGTCAAAAAAAACCCGATAGCAATAGTTCTGGTCCAAAAAAGTCGCTTTCCCGATAGAGCTCATGAGCTTTAGGAGTTCACGGATCCTTAGCCGTTGGATTCGCAAAACTTACTATTAACGGCTGAGATCTTGAGTTTATTTGTTGTTAGACCCCTAACCGGTACATTTGCCAAAACGATCATATCCACACGTTTATGTTCTTTTTTCTGTTAAAGATAAACTAGTGTAGTTTTATAAATTAGTGAAAAAGACTTATACATAAACTATTGTAAAAGACTTATATAACATATAACATATTTTTTAGATCTGATAAATTAGTAGCTAA